TGTATGTATGTATGTATGTAGGTAGGTAGGTAGGTAGGTAGGTAGGTAGGTAGGTAGGTAGGTATGTATGTATGTATGAATGCATGCATGTATGTATGTATGTATGTATGTATGTACGTATGTAACCATGTATGTATGGGCTGAGAGAGTTCGGGCCTTTCCGGTACCCAAGATCAACAATGATCGGCAGAATGCCAGGTTGCGTGACTGCAACGGGAAGCCACCCGGATTGATTGGCTGGCTTCCGCCCCTCGGCATGCTTCCTTTTTTCATGTTCTTGCTGACGATTGTCAGTCCCTGTATCTCATGGTTGGGGAGCCAGCGCAAGCTGAGGGGATATGCGGTGACTTTCATCGACAACCACGACACGGGCAGCACCCAAAGACACTGGCCCTTTCCTGACGACAAGGCCTGTCACAGACAAGGAAAGTCTGACAAGTGTCGAAGGGGTTATGTCGGGAGGACAGCAGTCCTGAGATATGTCGTGTTAGGTGATGATGGGCTATGCCTACATCTTGACACATCCAGGACGCTACGGCTTGGCATTAAAAGTTCATCAGTTTCGTGACAGAAATCTGCAGCAGAGTTTCAGCAGGAATTCCGTCAGTGTTCTGGGACCACATCATGGACTGGGGTGACGAGCATCGCAAGAAAATTGCATCATTGCTCAAGGCTCGACGAGATTCAGGCCCGTCGGCGTAAACGATGCTTCGTGCTGTCTTGCAGCACTGCAGGGGGTCAGACTTGTAAGCTGCGTGCTGATAGACTTGCTTGAGATTTGTGTTCGCGACAGGCATTCCTGTGGATGCCCCGGTAAACATTCAGTGCGCCGACGATACCTTGTACTTGGCCGAGATCGGCCAGCCACCAGCGTTGCGCGTAGCACTTGGCCCGCGTCCAGCCGGCCAGCCAGACATGACAGCCGGTAGCCAAACATCCCACGCAAGAAGCCATTGTGCCGCAGAGTCTATCATGCTTCGTCTATAATGCACAGCAGTGTGCAGACGGAGAGCACAACTGCCAAATGGATAAGTTGGGCGCTCAACCTTTTTGTTTATGGCCTCGCAGGAACTACTGGTCTCACGGACCGAATGGCCATGGCTACCGTGTGTGGGTGAAGAGGACTGCAACACCACAGGCCGACGGAGGAATCAGCAAGTTGATCTCCTATCATGATCTATCGACTCTACCCATACCTTCGAGCTGCTTCCCTGGTCAGGTCTACACGTCTCTTGGTCCGACTCCAGAGGCTCGAGATTGTCGTTGAGTGCGAGATTCAAGAGATTGTACATAACTCTGTTGAAGCAGTGGTACATCCAGAAGCCAAAGGTGACAATAAGCACTAGTATCACTCGAAAGGCTGTACCTTATGACAGCAATGTTGATTTGCAATACGTGGAGATAGCAGTGATCAAGCTTCAAAGCAGTGTTTGCAAAGACATTCTTGTGGCAGTGGTTAGCGTAGCAGAGCTGATGGTACTTAGCAAGACAGATGGTGCTCTCTTCCTTTCCCATTGACATTGTCACCATAAGTTGCGACTGCTTGTCTTCCTCTTTAAGTGTTTATGAATCACCATCACTTCGTCGCCATCATGCTTGGTTGTTGTTTTTGTCTTGGTCCTTGTCTTTGTCATTTGTCCTTCGTCGTTTGTTGTCGTTGTTGCTGTTGCTGTTGCTGTTGTTGTTGCTGCTGTTGCTGGTGGTGTTGTTGTTGTTGTTGCAGCAAGCCGCCACGGATCAGACTGGCAAGGCAGCTCGCGTGGCTTTCGAACAGGCCTTGGTCCCCACAAGACCTCTCTTTTTAACCGTATGGTGAGTTGGCGCCACTTTTTGAGCCCTGTGCCACCATTGCTGAGCCGGTCTGCATCCGCAAAGTCCCAATTCCTGGACCCAGTCTCTGTCTAAGACATTGGGAGGCGATAGGGTTTCCACTTACCGCGCAGTGGAGAGAGCTACTTTGTAGTGAAAACAGTGGATGGCGTTGCTTCCAGTGCACTCGCAGAATGATTCCTCTCTGCGTAAGATTTCGTTCAAAAATGTTCAAAAGAGCATGCAACAGAATCGCTCAAAGCCAGGCCAGAGGTCAGCCCCTCACCCCGCAGCTGCTCAGAGTACAGGTAACTGCCCACCTGCTCACCAGGGTGTGCGGCCCCAGCGCCGCCTGCTCTCCGGCATGCTGGACAACAAAGCCGACCAGTGCGAGTTCTATCATGGAATGCAGGGCATTTTCGACAGCGTTGGAAGGAGTCTTCACAATTTGCGGTATCAGGATGGTATTGCATTTCATCTGCGAGTTCTCCCAGCTCCAGTACCAAACCAGCACGGGCTGGCATTCGTGGCCGCAAGCGGGAGGAGGCTTTGCCAAGTGAACCCCCTCCACAACAGCTGCGGATGGCCTCATGGTCTTGTTCTCTCCCAAATTCAATAAGTCCCAGCTACACTGGAAGGAATGACTCACGGGGTGAGTGTCGGAGGTTAGAGCTGGCTGAGCGGGGGCCAGGCTGGCCATCATGGCCATTATCAGCACGTGTGGTCATCTTTGGACAATCAAAGCGACAGAGCCGGAGTCTTATTTGCTTTGTCAAAGGCAGTGAAGCAAGTGCCTCAGCAGGACACACTCATAGTGGCAGGAGATTTCAACACTTCACTTCACTGACTCCGACACAGTCGCTCGTAGGCTCCAGAATGGCCGGCAGATCCGAGGCCGGATGAGGCCAATCTGACCAACTTGGTGAGCAGGCTGTGCCTGGTCGCACTCAATACCTGGCACTGCCGACAGTGCTTCACCTTACGAACAAGGTGAAGCCCGCACTCAGGTTGGTTTCACTTTCACCAACAGGGCTCCCGTGGTGGCTTGAGAGCTAAGCAAGCGAGCGCCCTCGCCAACTTCTACTTGGGTAGTTGAAAGATCGGCCTACTATGCGACACTGGTTGTTGCCTCAAACGCGGCTCCAATCAGTCTCTCATGACAACGTCGCTCTGCAGCAGGCGGTCAGGTCCAACGACCATAGTGCACTATTCAACAGTGGGTGCGAGAAAGAATGGCTGACAATGAAGACCCAAAATGTTGGGACTTGCTTCTCACGCAGGCGGTTCAGCGCTTCTTTCCGAAATCTCGCCGGGCACAGCCACCACCACTGGAGGCTGTCGCGTGTGGGTGGCCAAAGGCCACGCACGGCATACCAGTGCCAGCCCAACACGACTGGACAGCCACAACCCAGCTGAGTGTGTGAACACACTGCCGGCAAAGCCGCACTCACCTCACTCACCCTACTCGGCACACCCGTCTAGCACCGACGCATCAGTCGGCGCGTCACGCGTCCGAAGGTGTGCAAGCGGTCCATGAGGCACACAAACAGGCGGTGAAGCAAGCTCAGAAAGATCGAGTGCACACTTTTTTGGCAGAGATCGATCAGGCGATGGAGGACGGAGATCTGCGTGCGGCGTTCAAGACTTTAAAACTACTTCGTCCTTGGCAGCCGGCACGCAGGGCGCAGCTTAAAAACCCAGAGGGATATCTGTTATCACCGGCGGAGGAACTGAAGGCTTTGAAGCAGTATCACAACATCCACCTCTACTGCCCAAGACGGGACCTCTGCCCCAACGGCCTGTGGCTGACCTGAACAAACACATCCAATCCATCAAGACGGGAAAGGCAGTTCCAGCCTGCAGCGGCATGGCGGCTCTGCAGCTACGAAGTCGCAGAAGCAGTGCCGCGCTACCTGTCAGATCGCCTTGTGGAGGATGGTCTGGATGAGGGTCTCTTGAATGCCGATCTCTGCTTTCAAGCCAGGCAAGCCGCCGGATTGCCCAAGCAATCTCAGGCGGCTGGGATCCTGAGGCCTTGCGCTAACTGGCCGGGCAGTCTCAAGCACCTGCCGCAATTTGCGTATCTTCCGGGGAGAGGACTATCGGATGCCTCGGACAGGGTAATGAGTGCACTTGCGAGACCTAATTCTTCATCACACCATTCGCTCGCCGAAGGACTTGCAGGAGATTCACAAGCTAATTGGGGGCCTGCAAGCGGCACAACTTGATTGTCAATAAGTCCAAACGTGTCATCCTGGCGAAACTTGTGGGCAAAGAGGCCGCGTGCCTCATCCCCAAGCACTCCTGTTGGATTACAGATGCCAAGGGCAAAAAGGTTACCGGTTGGCGCGTTGAGCCCAACAAATCTTTGCCTCAGGCCGCTGTCCTGCATCACCGGTGCTTGGTCTGCAACTTCTGGACCCGGGATAGGACCAAAGTTAAGTCTCACTTCCGACAGGCACACTGCAGGATTGGGCTAGACTGCATCAGTCCGCTGCAAGGCAAGGCTTTGCCAGGGATACTCGCCACAGCTGATCATGGGACAGCTCGGTTCTTTTTGTGGATATCAGGTCCATGATCGTCGGCAGCATCCGGAACAATGTCCGGTGCTGTACCAAATAGAAGCTGAAGCCGGACACAGTCCCAGAGTCCCCTTGGTGACACAGTCTCTACACCGTTTTTTCAGGGCGCGGACGGCGGTTCCAGCGCTTCAGCAGCAACAGGCTCCCATCCCTCTACGGGTGCCATCTGGCCCTAGCGGTGCTACCGTTGGAGTGCAGGCACAACGTTTCCGCGTTCTAGCTAACTCTGGTAACACCTGCTACCCTAACTCGGTGTTTCAGGCTCTTCTTGCTGTTCAATTTCAGGGCCTTGACCTAGGCTGTCAGCATCTCTCGCCCGTTGAACCTTTTCGGGATGTTTGAATTCAGGCACCTCGCGTCGGGCTGGCTAATAGATGGCCGACAGCATGATGCAGCTGAGCCTTTGCAACATCTATTGCAGCCATGTGTAGTCACGCGTTCTTTACGGTTTGTTTTTTCATAGAGTACCGAGTCAGCTTATCCCAGTTTCACATGAATGCAAAGTTCGGCAATACGCCCGTCACTCGCAGAGTCGCAGAGCACGCTGTCGCAGCGACCAATTGAAAATTGCTGTTGCTGCTGTTGTTGTTGCTGTTGGTGGTGGTGGTGGTGGTGGTGGTGGTGTGGTTGCTGACATCATCTCGTCGTTGTGGGCGCAATAGTTTGTGCTATCGCTCGTTCTTCCAGTCGTCGGTGCTGGTTTTGCGTTGACATTATCCAATAATCATGCATTTATCACCGGAACTACTTTGGCACCCAATATAATGCTTGTCATTTCTATTGCTGTTGTTGTTAGCGGGGCTACTGCCCTGCAGCTTGGTTACACCCTCTGATTTCTGCCTGTCTAGTTGTGTATTCGGTTGTTTACAGCTCAGCAGGCCGGGGGATGTAGGCAGCGATCCAAAAGAGACAGCCAATGCAATGCACGGGCTGGATGAGGCCGGCCAGTTGAGGCACCGTTAATGAAACATTGCACTGCAAAGGCGGAGATATTTCCCAACTTTCCAAAGAGATGACGACATTTGGAGAGAGGTGGAGAGAGTGACGGAGCGAGAGAGAGCGACAGCATGCCATATGTCAACCTTCGACATGTCGACTTGTAGCATCCCCGAAGTGTATGGTGTTTTAGTTTGTGTTTTCGGTTCGATGATTGTTGAGGCCCTGCTTCTTGCTACAAGGGGGATTTACACGACATGTCGGTTCGTACAATCTGAACGCCCGCTGATGCCGAGAGACAACGTAGTGTGACTAGCAATGTGTTTATCAGTTATCCCTTTGTTGGTCTATCTTGTCTTGCAAGATGAACCCAGCGGCATTGCAGGGGCATTTAAATCTAGGTGTTGCAAAGTCACTACATGGATAAACGGCAGCCTTCCCAAAAAGTCATTGCTTGTCTTTGGGGGGCCAATAAGCCGGGGGACATTAACAGTCCCCTATGCCCTGTGGAAGAAGAAGAAAGCGACAGAGACAGGCATAAGATATGGGGCCGCTTTGGACGCAGGGGGGAACGTTGTTCCCTCTCCGTAAGCCTCTGTTAAAGAATTACAGGGAGATGAAACTTGCAGTGAAACACAGGGTTGGTAGAAAGTGAAAGGCAAACAGGTTCAAGCGTCGGTCGCTACTGTCATCAACCGAGGCGAGACCGCAGCGTCATCATCCTGATAGTTTTTTCGCTGTTCCCGACAGGCCACGCCCCTGGCGTCGCGTGCGAACTCCCCGCGCTCCAAGAAGAGTGAGGCCGACCGGGAGCAAAGGGTCGTTGCGGGCCGAGCTGAAGCATTCACACACTATCCTCTAGCACACACAAGATGACACCGTGAAGCCAGGAGGGCCTGCGGGTCGGCACGGAAGCGCTGACGGCAGAGACTTTGCAGCTCGGTAACAGAACGAATGGGAACAGTAAGCTCGGCACTGACAGTGCTTGATATGCTACTCATCATACCATTACTTTCCACTTTCCGCAGCGAAGATAAGACAACATGCGATGAGGCAATACAAAGGGTTCATGGAGTACTAGCACCAGGACCACTCATCCGAATCATTGCCGCCACTAGCCTTAAACTACAGCATAGATCTATATGTGTGTATGTATGTACGTATCTAGCTAGGTATGTATGTATTTATGTAAATGGATACATCAATCAATGACTAATATATATGTATTCGTTTTTATATGTGTGTTGATTTAAAGCTCCTTGAGCCACAACTTATATGAAAGGCCACTGCATAGTTAAATATGCAGTCGCGAAAGTTCCGCGATGGTGCCGCTAAAGTCAATGGGAAAGTTATCTGTTTGTAGCGTACTTGCCGTGCTATGATTACTATTATTACTTTTACGTTTACTGTTGCTATTAATAATTACTGCTATTCCTATTACTATTACTATGACTGTTACTATTACTAGTACTATGAGTATGACATACTATGACTATTACTACTACTGTTGCTATTGCTATTAGTATTGTGAATCTTGTAATTATTGTTACGGTGATTACTATTAGTGTTATTGTTACTATTATCATTATTATCACTATTGCTTCTTTCATCATCATTACTACTATTGCTATTGTCACTACTGCCATCACCACTTCTCAAACTCCTGCTACTGCAACTGCTACTGCTGTTACTACTGCTGCTGCTGCTGCTGCTGCTGCTGCGACCACTACTGCTCATTTCTGCTCCTACTGCTACAGTACTGCTAACTACTTACTACCACTACCTGCCATACCGACTACCCACAATCTTATACGACCCACTGCCGCCGGCTACTACCTCCTCCCCTACGATTGCCACTGCTCCGGTTCACGCTTGTGCAGTGCCTCGTATGGCCATCGATCTTAAGTGTAAGCAACGACAAACCCGAAAATTCGGTTCCCGTACAGGGTTTAGCGCGTAGTCCGCGTAAGTGACGCTAAAGTCGACGTACCCAGATCAAGGCCACCCCCCGATGGACATCGTCAGCAATCCAACCCCCAAGACGGCCTCAAGCAGCTCAAGCCTGTAGGAAAGGCTCCAAGAAACTCTCAACTGACAGGAAACTTTGTCAATAATCTGAACCCTAAGACGGCTTCGTGAAAAATCCAGCCCTTAAGACGGCCTTAAAAGGCCCTTTCCAGCTATTGTAGCTTTCACGCAGCCCTGAAACCCCCAGGAAGCATGCCAGAAGCTCTTAATCATGATGCCCGTAAAAACTTGCCATCGAGAACCTTGTAGCTTATGACTCAGGGTTACAACTTGCAAAGGTATACAAAGTTGCCTCTGCGAAAGTTTCGCGATGATGTTGCGAAAGTTAATTATCCTTTCGCGAAGAAGGTCATTCCGGGATGAAGCAATTTAAAGCTGTATATATTTCTTATCCTCGGTTCAAAGGGAAACTCGACTCCACTCCACTCCACTCCACTCCACTCCACTCCACTCCACTCCACTCCACTCCACTCCACTCCACTCCACTCCACTCCACTCCACTCCACTCCACTCCACTCCACTATCTATGTATGTCTGTGTGTCTGTATGTCTGTACGTTTGTGTGTCTGTATGTCTGTATGTATGTATGTACGTAGGTATGTACATGTATGTACATGTATGTACATGTCTGTACATGTCTGTACATGTACATATACGTATACGTACAAGAAGACGAACGTGTAGATGTATATGTAGATGTAGAGGTAGTACGTAGGTGTAGATGTGGATGTCTATATGCAATGTATCTGTATGTGTGTATGTATATGCGTACGTATGTGTAGTGTATATGTATATTATACCGACACTCTTCAGCATGTCGTGAGGGTTGCATTTTTGGTCTTATGAGGATCCGATTGTCAAGCTTCAGCTTCATGTGTGCTTCAGGAGGGTGAAAGGTTTAGGGATTAGGGGTAGCTTTGGAAATCAAGGTTGGGGGTTTCAGGTTTTAGGGCAATCTTGCGGGAGGTGTTCAGTGAGATCCATGGCACCAGACAGTGCATTGACCTTTAGCTTGTCACATGAGCTTTCTGCTAAAGGCAAAAACCCCGAACTCAAAGTCGTTTGTCCAGGAAGCTGATGGATTCCTGTCAGCTGCGAAAGCTTCGTGATCGTCTCCAGGCATTGCTGATTTCAGCACAAGTCTTTGGCATTTTCTCAGAAATCAAACAAATCGTGGTCTCGGGGCTTTGGGGTGTCGGGTTGTTAGGGTTTGCAGTGTTCTGGCATCAGAAAGCTTGTGCGATTCGTGGCTGCCGCATTTGACAACCAGAAGACGAAAGGGTACAACAAGATTGGGCGAAAGAAGTCGGAGTAGCCTGCGATGTGATAGCATTGACGAGGATAGCTCTCAGCACGCAGCTACCCAGCAAAACTATGGAAGGCTTAGAAAAGCAAACCAAGATTTTACACAAGCTGCTACAGAAAGGAAGCAGACATGATGAACATCATGAGTCGCAATGACAAGTTCCGGCATCAAATGTGCCTTGAAAGTCAAGCGACGTGAAATTTTGTCTTGAGCTGGACAGATAGAACTCATAAAGGCCTGGAAGAGGAGACAACCCGGCTCAACACTGCATGGTCATCTCCGAGATGCATCGAAAGCCTGGTGCTGCTGCTGCTGCTGCTGCTGTTGCATGTTCTTGATGTTCGGCAACTGTTTGGAACAACGTAACAGTGATGCCGTCCAGTTGTGAGCTTGCACGTGTGCAACCGCTTGTCAGGCCATGCTTCAAGCCACGGAGACCGCCTTGGAGATGAAAAGGACCGCGACAACTGCGGTTCTTTGCTGTGGAATTCTGCTGGAAGTCACGTCCGCGGCATGTTTTTTTTGCACGAGCCATGGAAAGGTTTTGACAATGCGTCCGTGTAGTCTTCGGTCTTGCGGTAGAACTTGTATCGAGGCGCTAGTCCGTCATCCCGGTACCGGCGAAAGCTCTGCAACAAGAGGCACCCGAGAAATGTGCGTGCCCCAGAACCTGGGCTCTAGCACATGATCACACCGATCATTCACTCTACACTCTCTAGTAACTCTGGTAAGCATGCTGACAGCAATGAGTAGTGATGGTAAGCAGGGGGAGCAACAGTAGCAATACTCGTACGACATAAGCCGCAAGACTTTCTGCTGCGAAGAGATTGCATCCCTTCTCCGAGGTCAACTTGACTTGCGCTGCAAACTCTTTTCGGACGATGCAGCGTATCAGCGATGCACAAAAACGTCCCACAGTAGCTCGCTTTTGAAGCCTTTTTCTCAGTCGGTAGCCTTGTTTCGCTACCACTACATGTTTCGCACCGGGATGGCTGTGAAAGCCACGACCTATCCCACTTTCAACAGCACAGTGGGCTGCACCTAATCAACCATGGAACGCCGTCTGTGAAAATGTCGCAGAAGCGGAAGTTGCTCCCAAGAGCCTAGAACGCAAGGTGACTTCGCTCACAAAATGCCCAAACGCCCTTTGGTGTATTACTTTGTTTCATCAGCTGGGCAAGCCGGTTAATGCTGAGTTTAGTTGCAGTGACAGGAAGCCGATGTCATAGTCTCACTCTACCCAACCATCTGCTACGCGACCATTGTCAATCCTGTATGTTTCAAGCAGCCAGTCTTGCCATCCACACTTTTTTCTGTAGAGGCTATGCTTGCTGTTTCGATGGCCATCATGACAACTTCCGCCTGCGTTTCTGCAAAGGTGCACGGCCCATCGTTTAAGCTGCTCTGCACAGGGGCTTGCAGATGATTCCACAGCGGAAGTAACACCTGACATCTTCGTAGATAGTAGAATCACAATGCGCAGCGTCGTATGTGATCATGACTCGTCGCGTTGAATGCATGTTGGTGCTTTCTCACAGCAATGATAAAGCATCAGCTGTCGGCCCCGGCAGCAAAGGTGTCGTAGCTGACTTCCTTGAAACACAGGTATGTAGCCGTAAGGCTTGTAGGATTTGCTGCCACCGCACACCACATTCCCAATTCGAAGCACAAACAGTGTGGCAGGAGCTTTGCTTGCATAACTTTTCATGTTCCGAGTCCCAAGAGAAGTTTTGGAATGAGAACAATCTGGTGCCGGTCCTGGTCTTTGGCTGCCGAACGTCCTGCTTGCCTTGGTCGGTTTCTGCTTGCCTCCGAATTTCTTTTGACACTCCTACCGTTTTGTTGAACATATCGGCTGTGTACACGGGAGCAGACAAGAACACAGTATTTCTCCTTGCTATGCTTTTTTCTCAGCCCTGACTTTCCAAGCGAGAAAGCAGCATGATTGGATGTTGGCAGTGCCCCCGCCCTTTCAAACCCTTGTGGATGATTAACAGTGTAGCCTCACGAGTCCAAGTTTACGGGTTTGCGGTGCCGCCGCAATGCGCGTGAAACGACACAAAAATCATCGACGCATCCTGCGCTTCTTCCGCCTGACATTTGGCATCCAGGCCCACTGATGGTGGGAAGGGGTGTTGGAACACAGAAGGATCATGTTGCCTTGCTCTTGGACCTGTAGGAGCCGTATCACGTTTTGGTCGACGGCACCTTCCTCACCCACGCCCTGCAGCAGCGGATACATGTCAAGGCGCGGATCCTTCCATCCTCATCCGCATGACCATGAACATTGATTATGCTACGGATGTTGGGGATGATGATGGCCTGCATCAATGTGAGTGTCCTCGTCGACATCATCATCGTCGTCACCGGCACCATCATTATCATCGTCGTCATCATCACAAAGAAGCTTTTCAACTAGAGAGCGCCAAGCAAGAACAAACCTCTGATGTCCTCGGCTACATGTAGCCGCAATGACACGAGTGCCCTTCGAGGCAGGGGTCAGCATACATCGAGATGCTTTTCGCGAGAATTGCATCAAAATGCTGTTTTGTCGCATCAGCTTTCAATAGTTCACACTCGCTGAGGGCATCCAAATTGCACACGCGGCGAGGGTCCTTTGTCGTGTGTTGCACATCTCAGCATGTCGAAGCTCCACGAGGAGGAGTTACGCTGTGCTTGCAATTGGCCCATATGCCTTGCTTGTAGCAGCACTATACTCGTTTTCAGTGGTTGGGTTTTATATTGCAGATGATTCAGCTCTAGACGTGCCGTGTTGGCGAAGGGGAAACACCTTCGTCTCCGACATGATACAGGCTCGAGAGACAGGGGCGACAGCACATCCGGATGCTGGCATCCTGCAGCTCGTGCCGTCCAATCTTCGTGAAACTGCAGGGAGTTGACGGACAACGGCACCGAGGCTTCAAGGGCATGTATCGAAGCCAAAGCCTGACCGTGCCACCAGATGCGATATCTTGCAGATTTGCACGATCCGGCGAAACGCCATCAATCAGGCAGAGCAAACCTTGGTGGAACGTCTAGCATTCCACTCAAGTCCAGCAGTGCTTCCTCGAGCCAGTTCCATCACGATGCAGTCCTTCAGAAGGTGGTCAATGAAAGGTCCATACAGAACTCAACTTTTATGCGTCATTCTGATCATCGTGGTCGTCATCATGATTATCACCACCGCCACCACCATCATAGTCAGATCATAGTCGGTGCCAGCAGTTGCGAATCTTCATAATGGAAAAACATCACCTTCGCCAGCATGGCTATTACCAATTGTCGTTGTGGTCGTCGCCATCCTCACCGTCACCGTCGTCAGCACTTCATGTACTGTCATCATGTGCAACTTCTCAAGCGTCATTGTCATGATATCACTCTCAAGATGATAGGATGGTCATGATGCCAATAATGCTATCCGGCTTCTTGGGTGACAGTGTCAGGTCTGGCAGTCAAGAGTGCCCACGACATAAAGCATAGTCGTCGAGATTTGCATTGTGAGAAGGAGTATTGATCAGATAAGTATACTCCAGCCAAAGACGTTGTTGCATCAATGTCAGTATTGGGGATTGAAGCATGCACTCGCAGGTCCTAGGCCAGGGGCTTGCGAGTGCAAACAGGCATGCAGGACGTTGCTCCACAAAGCACTTTGATGTCGACGCATGGGAAAGGCTATAACACCCAAAAGAACGACTAGCCAAAAAAGCAGGAATGCCACACCAAAACCAGCCGTGAACATCTGTGAGCAAGCAGCACGTGGAGGCGGAATGTCTGCCACGCGTTAACAGTGAGACTCCGCAAACCAGGCGAGCACTCAGCCGTGTTTGCATTCAATGCTCACGTTATAGCTTGCGGGTGATGCTTGATGGCAGGAGCAATTGCCCAAGATGCTGGAAGGTCGCACAACCCCGATGACCACAGGTGCTGATCGGGATAGTTTTGTGGCCTCTAGGACTTTGGTGCTTCGAGGATGCTGCGTTTCGAATCTGTCTGTCCAACTGTTCATTCGAAGTGACCGGTCGCAGACTGCTCATTCAGCGAGAGGGAGGGAGGGAGGGAGGGAACCAAGACTTGTGTTTTTTGATATGGCAGGTCCTTGTACAACGACAGAGCATTCATGCTGGGGTATGCCGCAGACAGCGACAGGAGTTAGCGATACCTGGACCCAAAACATGCGAAAGCAAGGGTGGACTGCTCTTCGCATGCAACGTGAGACCGGAGTCCGAGGGCGGGTTTCGGACGAAGCAGGGAGGCAACAAAACATGTCGTGTCCCCGCTCGGAAGCTTGTGCTGCCTGTCCCTGTCCGGAAGACAGAAGAGAAGGGGCTGGACGGAACCCACCCAGCACGAACTCTGAGTCCGGCCAGGCTGCATTCTGGCGGAGCTGCGGTCTTTGGGAGACCGTGCCCTTGGGGCGGCGGTCATAGCAAAGGGGCAAGTTGGCAGCAGTGGGGCTTAAAATTCAGGTTTACACGGCTTCGACATGGGTTCGGAAACATGGTTTTGTCGAGCCCAAGATGCGAAAGTGCTTAATCAAAGCAGAAGGCCCGAGCCTGCTGAACTAGAGCAGACGGCCCGAGCCATGTCGGCAGCAGATTCAGCGTTGCAGTTCGCATTTTGGAAGTGACTGGTGCAGCACACTCTCAAGCTGTCGAGGAGGCCTGCGCGCAGCCGACTATTGTTGCTTTGCATCGATCAAGGTACTACCGCGTGAAGTGTGGGCATGACGAGCACCCGATTGGTGCCTCCAAGTGCATCCTCGAGCAGATTGGTCGGACCAACGATAGGAGGCACTTCTGAAAGAGGGTGTTGTAGTGCGTGGGGCCTTGATGTCATGTGCAGGTTCTTCGTTGCAACACAAGACCCGGAGCTTCGTCAAGAGTTGCGGAGCATCCCCGGTGTCCCCTTGATGAGGCTCGACATAGAAGAGCATTCAATACTTTGGCTGCAATCTGTACCAAGTGTTGCAGGCTCAATGGCCCTGTGCCTCAGTTGGAGGAGCCTTCCGACTCCACGCGACGCCTGGCAAGAGAGGGCGAAGAGAAGAAGCGCGAGCCCTCTGCGTGGGAGAAGCCAAAGCTTCCAGAGCTGAAGGCCAAGAGGGGCTGCCTCTGAAAGTGTGAGAGGGTCTCCGAAGCTTTCAAGAGCATGACGTCTAGAGGTGCTTGATGGTGCTTGATGCATCTGCCAGATAGGCCAAAGAAGTTCTGAGAGAAGCCCTGACCTCAAAGCCCAGGGCAAAGAGGAAGCAGAAAGGAGCGTGTGGTGTTGCAAGCTCTTGGATGGCTTCACCCGGACTCGTGGTAGGAGTGAACCCACTCGCCTGCAAGAAATCCATGAAGACGAAAGCAGGCTCCATGTGGAAAGCTTTCCAGTCGGATTGGGCTGCAGTCAGTGCTTGCTACCATGCCGCACTCCATTCCTTCCCGAAAGCGCGAAAGAGAGGTTGGCAGCCGTAGGCACCGCGACTGCCTTCCACTCCTCCCACACTCTGCAGGTGCAGTGCCATCAAAGCCACCGAAGCACATCCCCGCGGAGCCAAAAGCAAAGCGTGTGCGCTCGCGGCGGATGGGTAACCGGAGCCGCGTGGAGGAGCCGAGAGCACAAAGCGTTTTTTTTTGTGGGCGGGTAAGTCGCTTGCTTTCAGACTGCTACGCTGCTACGAAGTGCTACGAAGTACTCTGCAGAGGTAGAGGCAGTGCTCGCCGCGTCCAAGGCCAGTCCGTGCTTCGGGATTTCAGAAATTCACGTGGATGGTCGCAGGCTTTCTCGGTGAACGGGATCGTTGGTGATGGGTAAACCCTTTCCGTAATGTTTCAGGCAACGCCAGCTCAAGGGACGGCAGATGCAGCTGCGATGAAGAGAAAGCGCGGGCGCCGCTGAGGCGAAAGAGCAAGCGGCACACCTATAGGCTGGCAGGAGGTATCCTTTGAGGAGTTCGGGTTGAAGGCATCGACAATCCAAATTTGGATGGGGCATGTGGCATGCGGTCCCTTGCCCTGTGCATCAGTGGAAGCCATGAACCGTTTTGCTGTTTCGAACGCTGCCGATGCTGCCCAAACAGCACAGCCAATGCAGCCAGGTGCATCTAAATGGGGCCATGCCGCTGCAAAAGAGCAAACCCGAAGCAGCAGGGGTCGAAGTTGCACACCTTGTGCCTGATGCGCGCATGGGCAGCAGCAGATGGCGAAGCGGAAGCGGCCAGGGAAGGCTCAGCCCACGAAGACCCGCACCCAGCTCAACAATGCCAGGCCCGTGCGATTGCTTGCTTTTCGATGTGCACCACCTCGGTTCCGTTGCCTGCGAAGACCAGGAAGAGGGCCGCAAAGAAGCGAGCAAAGCAGCAAGCCAAGCTCGTCGACCCCTCCTTGGCGGGGTGCTCGGAACAGTGAGGAACTGCAGTTACCTTGGGAGGGTTCTGGACTGGAGGTTTACATCCAGAATCCATTGGGTGCACCAACAGTGGTTCGAGCGAAGGGCTGGTTCGCAGACTTGGGCAAGAAGCTCTCGTTGCGACTCGGTCCTCTGGAAGGCGGGTCAGTCTCACTGCTCTTGCTGCTCTTCGTGGCGCTTCGTGGCGCTTCTTCTTTTGCTGCAGCATGTTGAGTGCAACATGCAAGGCTGGCGAACGTCGGCCAAGTTGGCGGTGCGTGCGTCGGGCGCTTCTGGCGCAAAGATCGGCCTTTTCGTGCCAAAGTCGCATGATGTGGTGCCGATCAACGGCTGTGCCGCTCATCACGCCTCCATCAACACAGCTCTGGAGGCCAACGAGTTTTTTCCATGCTTTCTTGGGATTCGGCCACGCAAAGCAGCAAGATGCTGCAAGGACAAGTGCAGCGCACGTCTCTTCCCTTCAGCTTCCTTTTTTGGCCCCTGTTAGAGGCGATCAGCACAGCATGCAAAGCTGCGAGAATTCGGGGATATGACGAAGACAAGGGAGAAGGCCTGGAGTTCGAGTTCTTTAAGCCTTCTTCCCTGGCTTTTCGTCTTCTCTTGAGGTGACCTGCGGTATGTGAAGCTGGAAGTGCAACGCTCCAGCGAGCTGGTGCAGGTCACCCTCGTCTGGCATGCAAGCTCCCAGGAGGAGGCGGCCGGTCATCGACGGGAGTACATCACGTGGCATCGAATGATCATAAGCATGAAAGAAATTTTACACAACGCGAGGCGGGGAAGCCGCTCCGGAAGCTCGTCACTGCACTCCAGCAGCACGAGCTGCCCGAACCTCAGACCTACTGTAGGCGTAAAGTCTAGGTCATTAGACAAAAATGCTGGCAGAGTGGAATGATGAATTCTTACCAGCAGGGCGGCTCAAAACGCACTTTGCCAAAGCAATCATTCCGAGCAGCGCAAGATAGGTGAGTACATCACGAGTAAGATCGTAAGATCTGGAGGACAGGAGCACGAAGATTGCAGTGCAAGTAGGATCTGGAGGCGGGAGTGCGTACAGGACACTCTCTGATAAAACAATGAAGTGCAAGGCCTCCCAACGCGGGATGCCACCCCACCCAAGAGCCGTACGGCCGAAACGTGTGTCCTTTCGATTTGAGCGCCAAGCAGCTGGACAGGATTGCGGCACGAGCACGATTTGGAACAGAGACCCACACCCCCACCCCACCCCCAGCCCCACCCACCCCCAGCCACCCCCACCCCCCAGCCCCAGCCCCACCCCCACGCCCACCACCGCCCCCATGCGAAAGTACACTGTACCAGATTAGCACACAAACACTACCCTAAAGTATTCCGTGCACGGCTCACTCAGCTTGAGATCAAAGTAACCCTGAAAGTCACGGAGCGCCTCTTTCATGGGATTGCACAAAGTGCATCACGATCTTGAGCCACATAAGTGGCAAAGTGGGTATGGAGATAGCGTGGTGTAGCACACGAGTGTGAGTAGGAACAAGCGCCAGCGATCGGCCGAAGCATTCGCCTGTTTTCAGATTCTCCTTCGACCGTCTCCTCTCGTCGCGGTCATGTGCCGACTTCTTCGCCGCGGCGGTGGATCGTCGATCGGATTGTCGCCGGTTGGATCCGGCACATCATTCCTAATGCCTTTCAGCGCCCGTCGGGGCATGTTGAGAGCTATTGCCACGTCGGCAGCATTGCCTGCACGAATGTCTCCGGAGCCGTTGAAAGAAGTTCCTCGGATGCTGTTCGCATGAATGCAAGAGTGCTACAATCATGTGGAAGGCAAAGATAACTGCATGCATGATATCTGAGTGCAAGCGAAAAACTCTCCTCTGCGCCATTCGTCCGCTCCCTCTGTCACCCGCTGTGCAAGTAGAGTTTGAGCCCTTTGCAGTTGGGATTGTCCACCTCCAGTCCAGCCTTCTTTTTGTCACCCATCACCCCTGCAGCATTGACTGCTCCATACCTGCAGACCAACTTCTGTTCCGTAAGCGGTTTCATTCGTCCTTTTTCCAGGTCCAGCGAAACAGAGCTCGACGATGCAGTCCACTGCCCGACCAACTCATTTTCGTCGCCTCCTGCCTCGGCGATCAAGTCGCTGGCCCTGCTCTTTTGGCTGTCGTCCGCCAGCAACGATGCCAAATCGTCAGGCAAGGCATCGTTTTGGGGTTCGTCTTGAGTCGCTGCAGGAACATGGCAGCGTGTTCGGTTGTAGCCTGGCCCAGGAGCATCTGTGACTGAGCCGCGGCGTGCAGTAACAGCAGGGGTTCCAGGTGCGGATGGCGTAGAGGGGGTCGTGGGTGCGATCGATTGCGTGGATCCGGGCGAGGAGACCTCAGAGGCGTGGTTTGGAATCCAGGCGACAAAGACTAACCCATCTGGGCGCTGATTGCCGCAGCTTCTGCCTTATCACCCCTTTGCGGCTGCGGTGTTTTGTGAGTCTTCCTCTGCTACGCACGCGGCCTTGTCTGGCTTGCCATCTTCTGCCTGTTTGCACAGGCCCTGTGTCACTGCTGCCCTTGTTTGCTCATGGCTGCTGGAAGCGCGATCTCCTGTGGAGTGCTCAGGTGCGTCCTTTTGACTATCTGACCCAGGAGTGTCCGATTGAAAATCGGCACTGCTCCGCAGGGACCCAGCACTGTTTGCCTCGGCATGTGTACATGTCTCGGGTGTGGAGACCGCAGACCCGTCAATGCACCTCGTGCTTTCTTCCGCCGGTTCGGTGGTCCAGTATCGCGGCGCTTCCAATGGTTGCTCAATGTTCTTGGAAGTCCGGTCTTCCTCGGTGTACACCACCAGTGTCTGGGTGTCCAGTTCCGGGAGCTCAACGCAGGGGCTTCATATGCTCCTGAGTGAAGTCCAGGCCCAGGTTCGTTTGACTTTACCGCCGCGTGGTCTTCTTGGATGTGCCGTTTCTCGAAGTTTTTGGAGCCAAAAACACAGTCATCACAGCATCGTCATCTTCTCCCGAGCGCCTACACTATGTTACAACAGCACGTTTACCTCTGAGTGAAGCCGCGCAGCCAAGCACGGGCACATGACACAGGACTGCCAGACGCATCAAGGCAGCACCGTCCCTACCTTTGCTCCAGCAGCAATCAGTTCTAGACAGCCTTGACACCCATGATGGCATTCTTTCCCCAGCCGCCTTACATAAAAAACGCCTGCGCCAACGTTGTGGACCTTGTGGTGTACATATATAGATATGGGTAGTGGTCGCAGGTATGATCAAAACACACATTCTTAGGGTGCACAAAGATGTGGCCAAGTTTCTGGAAGCCAACCTACGCCATGTGTGTGAAATTCAGACACCTGCTTAAATGCGATGAGACATGTCAGTGGTGCGAGAGAAACTTGCACGGCACTGACAACACTGCTACTCACGCCCAGTGCTTTTTCAGCTTGTGCTAGCGCAGGAGCAGCGAAACGCGTCCTTGGCAGAGAGTAGGGCTGCCCAACGACTGGCCAATGAAGCTCCCAGCGGTGGATCTGATGGCCCAGCTTTCAGCACAGGACACAGATCAGGTCCATCCTGATATCAAGTTTGCGGCAAAGGTGGCGAAATCACATTGTCTTTTCTGGCGAGCACCAAACGTGCAGACTTGGAGACGACGCACCAAGCAGAGGCACGCTGCACTGTGCCCAATTAATTGCCCTCCAACTTGCGACGTGTGGCTTCACGAGGCTGGCGGAACCTCAGCAGCACATCTTAGAATCCAGATCCGACCGAGTTGCTGGCCCTCCTTTGCCTCTTGACCAGGCCCTGCAGATGGATTCAGTCTATCGCGCCAGGGTGCTTCGGGCCGCTGGGTGGAGTTGTTGGTGGCGATAATCACTTGACTTTAGGTGCGGGTCTCTCTGCTCGCCCTCGGCCAATCAGCGTTTCAAGCACTCTCAGTGAGGATGTCAACCCAATCCTGCAGAGTTTCGGTCGCAGTCACTTTGTTTGGCCTCGCAGTGATCATCATAAAGGTGGCGGTGTTCGAGAATGGATCTTTGATAGAGCAGGCTACCTCGATCCTTTCTCAAGGCATCGCGGGGTTCGCAAAGTTGTTTCCAAGACTGCCGACACTTGGGCTCATGCGACGGTCCTCAGAGTGATCTCCTCGCTGCGGAGTTTCGGAGCAAAGTGGAGGTACTCATTCGTCTGCATGAGAGTCTTCATGGCAGTGGATGCTGCACCAGTTTGCGGATCCTTCTCAATTGGGTTGTACCTCCAGTGCGTTCTGCTCTTCGTCCTCAAGGCCTACCGAACCTTTGTGATAGCATGGTTGCCAAAGTTTCCCAGGGCAACTCCTTTTGCAGATGGCTCGCTGTTATCATTCTTTATGGATTGATAAGGGATTGGTTTTCTGGATTGATTGAGAACCCTTAGCGGTCGTGGCTCTGGCTTCAACCTGAACGGGCTTACCTTCATGTTCAGAGCGACTGCAATTTCTGGGAGGTCACGTTTTGTGCTTTCGGTGCCAAGTGAAAAAAGCCCATTCGGGTATTTACCAGCATCCTGAAGGACTGTTGCGATGTTTGCCCGGGATGCTCAAGCCACATTTCCCTGCGAGGATACAGCAAGATTTACAACAAAGGACTGGACCAAGGTTGCCGAGCCTTGCCCGAGATGGCTTTCGGAACGCCTGGGCAGAAGTGTGAGTTCACACAACTTGAATCCCAAGGACAGGCTCGGCCAGCTTGACGTAGCCGTGTGCGCAAAGATCTCGAACTCCAACATCGGCTCGAGCTGCTCCAGCAGGGCAGCCTCGGATTCTTCGTGACATTGATTTGGACAGCGTGAAACCCGTCAGTGCGCAAACTTCGGAGCCGGTTTCATCACTGAGTTTGCTCAAACACTTCTGATGCCGACTGCGACGCACTGCTTAAGGAGCTTCTTCTTTTGTGCGCCCTAGTGTTTGAGTTCGGGAGATGTCTGTTTGCAGTTGGTAAGTCGTTGTACCTCTTCAGACATGTGATCCTTGCAGCTCTTAAGCATTGCCCTGGAGCTCGACAACACGTTTCCGAGTGCTGGACCTTCATTTCCAAGTGAAAAGTCGTCGAGCCGTTCCAGCACCGAGCCTCCCTCCTAGAAGTCATACTGCGAGTGATGATCGCCCTCGCCCTACGGTGGGGTTGAGAGCGGAAGGCAGGTGTGGTGCTCATCTCTTTTTGGGGCATCTCTCGACCCGGAGAGGCGCTCAGATCCTTCGGGAGTGACCTTCTGCTTCCTTTAGACGAAACTTTAGACCTGTTTTTCAGTGAGAAGCATGTCATGTTATGTCCAGGTCCAGGCCCCCCAGACCGGACGCGGACCAAGGCCAAAGTTCAGCGCATCTCAAATCACAATAAGGCAGTATTCGAGCGGGTTTTCAAGCACCTCCAACCTGGTCAGCTGTTTTTTGGCGGGGTCTCCGTCCGCTTTCCGGAGACGCTGGGATGCCTTGATCGATGCATTGCTGATTCCACGCTCCTTGCGACTTACTCCAGGAGGGCTTCGAGGTGGAGGCACGGTGGCTGAGCACCACCGCAGAATTGACCATGCTACTTAAATTCGCAGTGGAGAATGCGCGTAAAGCACCAGGTCACTTTAGAATTTGGAAGCCGACCTGCACGACGTGGCGGCAGAGAGCCTGCTTCAAAAACTTCCCTAGCTGGCCGTCTCTCGAGTTACGGCGGCTGCCTCGCTCTACGAGTTCTTCCTGCTGCAGTGAACTGCAGGCCACCTCGGGGCTTCTGGCTTGTCCAACATTGTCATGGGCTGAACACGCTCGTGGCCTCTTGGGCCCTTGAGGTGCCCTTTTACGGGTGGAAGGTGCGAAGTCTCTTCGGCTGCAGCTTTCCAAGCTTTTCCTTCGAAGTGGCCGTCGGCTTTCGTCTGGCCTTGTGAGCTTCGTCTCTAACTCTAGCAGATGCCGCTGTCTCTAGCAGATGCTGCTTGCACCACGACACAAGACTGACTAGCTGTCGGATGCTGTAAAACAACTTCGTCCGTGCGTGAGCCATTGATGGTTTAAGTTACTTATTTAGCTTTTTTTACGAAGTGCACCCTCGCAAAATGGATGTCTGCATACATGGATGCATTTGTGAATGTGCATGTTCAATCATGTTCATATGCGCCCATATGTATATTGATTTGTTTATTTATTTACATATGTATGCCTGCATGTAGGTATGTATGTACGTATGTATGTGTTTTTGGTCATCATCATCGCCACCATGAGCACCCGTCATCATCATCCACAGCACCATCACCATCATGATCGTCGTCGTCATCATCACCATGACCATCACCACCATCATCATGCCATCAATATTCATGTCATCACATGTTGTGGAACAGCGGCACCCCTACGACGAGAAGAATACTCATGCTAGAAAGTCACAATCAGCACGCCTCATAGTCTCAACCAAGGTCGTTCGCAGGCATCACCATGACGATCAGCACCACCATTGTCACCATCATCGCATCACCATCACCACCATCATCATCATCGTTGTCGTGCTATCACCCCGTTTTCAGCAATATCATTAGCATCACCACCACCACCACCACCACCAGCACCACCACCACCACCACCAGCACCACCACCACCACCACCACCACCACCGCCGTGTTTTGGTGCACCCATAAGAATACCAACAACGGCTGTTGTAGTTCTTGTTGTTAGTTGTGCGAGTGATGAGTGACGAGTTTGTTGATGATGATTCAGAGAAGGGTGTTGATGTCCGGGTAGTACTTGCAAAGCAAAGCAGGGGGGGATCGTCGAAACGGTCACCGGGCATGAGTTATCAAAGCAAAGGAACAACACCTCCCAGTAGCGCGCATGATCGTCGCTACCATTAGAAGCAGCTACGGCAACAGCCAAAACTCCATGGTACGATGTGTAGTGTGGTTCTCGTGAAATGCTCAGTCGTAATCGTGTCTTGCACGACCACACCTCATCGTGCTCCCATGTGAACCTCTATCAGTTCCGACCTTGGTCACAACATGTACACAAGCTGTGAGATATCTCTTGCTAAGTGCAGCTGCTCCATTCAGCCGAGGTGGTATTCCATCTGGGCAAACTTCCATGCTGCAGACAAGCATACCTCCCGCATTCTAGCCTTGGAAAAGGAGGTGCGGATGTCTTCTTTCAGAATTTGTATTTAATCGAGTGGTTTCTGGGTGTTTTCCGTGCAGCGCTGCCGAAGATAAGAAGTCAACTGGCCATGGCCATGGTTCTTCTCTAGTACAACCCGGTGCCATCGCAAGCTATTTGCTCTTTTCAACTGGGGTTTCTGCGGGTCTTTCGCCCAGAGGCCTGGGTTCAACTGGCCGGTCGCAAGCGCTGGCTGCGGGAGCCGTTGCAAAGGATCCCGCAAAGCTCCCACTGGACACCTGAAGCGACTGATGTAAGAGTCATGGGATTCTTACGTATGAGGTCTCCGAAGATGTTGAAGCCGTATACTGCATGCGAGGAGGTCGAGGGATTTCTGTTGTCAGCGTACAGCGTCATTACAGGCTAATCCACAAGGTCGAGATGATGGCAATGTGTCTGCCAGGAGTGCCGTGCCCTATCACTGCGAGCTGTGCTTTCCACCCTTCGTCTTCCGTGACTTTGACCAATCAAAAGGCTTGAACGAAGCTCGCAGGGCTGAACTCGTTGATTTTGGTTGCAAGAAGGCATAAGAGATGACGATGATCATCGCCCATGGTGAAAAAGCTTATATTGATGATCATGGTACTAATGGTGAAAGAGAACAAGCAACAAGGTCTTAGTTCACAGTGAGCTTCATGCTTTCACAGTTTGCCTTCTATGGAGCTGAAAGGCGTGCCGCCTGTGCCTCTGAGGCCAGGCAAATCTTTGTGCCTTTGAGCGGATCGTTTCGGCGGTTCGGCGCTTTGTTCCATTTGGCAGTGCTGTGGTGGAGACTTGGCAAACACATAGGCTTCGGCAACTGGAGCCTGCCTGTGTCTGGGTTCATGAGGGTCTTTGCCCAGGAGCTCTACGCTGGCGTGGGTACAATCGGCCCCGCACCTCAGAAATGTGCTGGGAGATATTGGATGACAGTCTCGGTTCAACGAAGAGGTTCGTGCCTTACCTGTTGGTTGGTATGGGTTTCGTCTAAATCGAGGCCTTCACCTGGCGGATGTAGCTGGACGAACTGGCATGGCATTACTCCTTTGCGCGTGCTGCACATGTGACCATAACTTCGTGCAGTGCGTGGACAGGTTCTCTGGTTTGCAGCGACGAGAACCCATTCAACCGTGCATGCTTCCGTCGCAGTGTGCTGCCCAGTGGCCCGTGAAGCTCGGTGCTCTGCCGAGGGGTTGAGCCTGAGGTTTGAAAAGCTTGCCGCCGGACCTGCAGCCTCTCGGATGCACCGTTGCACCAATCTCTTACAGAGCCTTGTGAGCATGGGTCGTTGCATGATGCCGCAGATTGGCTCGAGTCGTGCGGCGTTCCGGCACAAGACATCCTGGAGTCCTAGCAGGGAATGACGCATTGCTCTTGGGGCACTGCGCGACTCGCAGCTGAGTTCGAAGACCCGGCATCGTGGCAGCAGTGGCAGATTTTGGCTGCTTGGTCACGAGAACGCCGGAGCGTTTCAGGTCTGTCGCGAGCTCGTGAGCAAGATCAACTTAAGCAAGGAGCCACAGGGATCACAGGGCGAGCTTTTCCAAAATGCCGAAGCCGTCACTTGCTACCGCAAGCCTTCCCTTGTGAGGAACATGTGGCACGGTGCAGGGAGCAGCTGCAAGAACTGGCCTGGAAGCTGCAAGGTCAAAAGCACGACCTTCAATTGCTGCGCATCACGGACGCTGGATTGAATACGGCTTCAGAGCAGATCATTTTTACTCAAATTATTTTCGTGGGGGATCAGTGAAGCTTAGGGTGGTTCGAAGATTGCCGATTGCAACATGATGGCAGAAGAAGCGCGCAAATTGAGCCTAGAGGATGCGCAGTCTGTTTGAGCATAGATGCATTCGCTTGACAGAGCCAGAGATTGTGGGCTTCGATGACTGTGCATATTGTGAGCGGGAGGAGCAAAACCTCTGCGAGGAAGTTGAGCGATTGAAGCAAGCACTTGAGCGAGCAGAGTGGCTCGGGCGTGGTTGTGGTTTCGTTCCGCATGCTATGTTGTAGGCGCATCGGGGCTGCACGTATTGTTGAAATCCGAGGTCTGAGGCCAGAGCCCTTGCCGATCGATCTTGTGCTGCTGCGGCCTTAGAGGCCTTAGATTCGTAGATGCGAGCAGAATGCTGGCAGCTGGCAGTCAGCCCGTGTGAAGACCTCTGAGGCCTCGCCGCCTGGGCAAGCTTCAGGAAGGATCCCGGTGCTGGGAGGTGCTATGCTGCATTTTGTCCCTTGCAGCAAAGGATGCCGAGAGGTTCAAGCGACACACACGCACGTGCGAAGGATCTGATCCAATTCCGCCAGGGCCGGGCGGACGAGCTTCGCAAGGAGGCCGGGGAGGGGAGTAATATCGCAACTGTTTTCGATGACGACGATGACAGTACTGACGAGGATGATAAGGATAATGCTGGTGGTGCAGCCGTGGTGTTAGTGGCGGCGACAGTGATGAGCAGTGATGGTCATGTCATGTCATCATCCAGCCAACGTCGACAAACGTGGAGGCAGCGACGAACACGCACGGTTGGTTCTCTGTGTTCCTCCTGTTGACTGGTTAATTGTTGGTTTAAGGGCTGGTTCCTGCCTTCCTGTCGGAGGCCTCGACCACCGAGCTTCGCAACGAATTCTTTCGTTCACGAGCCATGGCGCTGCAGGAGCAAGCAGCCTTCTGGCCCAATTTCGGCCTGCCTGAGCAGCCTGAGCCGCCTGAGCAGTTGGAGCTTCACCGAGGCCCGGCTGCGCCTCGCCAGCCGCAAGGCCACCGAGGCCCTGGCCCTTGCCAAGGCAACGGAACACTGTCATGGCCTTCCAGACCCCCATCCCTCAGCCTGGTCTCGGCATGCCCAAACGGCTTCAGACTTTGAGCTCCCAGCTTCCACCGGGATGTAGCGGGAACGGACAGGAGGAGGTGCGCTGGGCGCAGAGATGCAGGCACCGCGGTGATTCGCTGCCTTCGTGGGCGCTCCACATGAGTGCAAGGGAGCATGTGCAGTCATTGAGGTCATGTCCTGAAATCTGAAACGCTTCCTCCCAGGCGGTGCGCGTTCTTTCTGCCGATGCTATCCTCATTCTTGACTTCGCTCTGGTGGTGTTATGGGTGACCCGCTATGTGAGCAGTCGGAGCATCACGATCAACCGCCGAAATCAATAATCTTAGTGGAGATTTACCGAAACAAACAGACTTGCTGTATTTGCAATGGAAATGTTGCCAGATGTGGCCAGTTGTACCATGCTGTGCCTTCTCTGGCTCGGGAATCTTCCGTTCTGGCAAGTCGAACTTCTGTTCCTGGCAATCTCTGGTGGGAAGGCTGAAAGCTTTCTCGACTCCAACATTGACCTAGTTGTGGTGCCAGCTTCTGGCACGAGAGAATTACTGGCATCGCGCCTGCGGGTGGAGTGACTGAACTCTCACTCCACCGCCATCTCTCTTTGCATGACCCATGGGCAGAGCAAGACGCAATGACCACCAGATTGAAAAGGTAACAGCTTGTCTGTCTTTCCGTGGCTTTGCATCCTGCAATGGTCAATAGCCCAAATGGCATGCAGCCCAGGCAGAAGCTCGGCTATGTATCAGGCGATGCAGCCTCGCAGGAGGGGTGTCTGCAAGACATTTTGCGGCGTCTGACTGGATTGATTCAAAGGTGTGGAAGTGGGGACGTTGCCCAGTAAGTGCAGCGTAGCGCGGTTCGTGGGAGATCTCAGCATGGTCAGGTTGACAGCATTCCAGCGGCTGACGTTGTTATTGTCGACCCTCCCCGAAAGTGTCACCCTCAGAAGGGGAGGAAACAGCAAAGCCTGCGACTCCTGAATCCTGGGCTGACAGGGGCATGGAGGACACGGTGTTAGATGCTCTCACGCGACCGTGCCGGACTCAAGGATTCGAGGGCCTCAGCAGCCTCGGGGCGTCCTTATGTTAAGGCCGAAGAGAAAGTCGGTGAAGCCATACCGTCTCATTTACGTCTCACTCCAAGTTGACCGCCTGCAATGATTCGTGGCAGATCATGTATCCGTTGGTGCAGAGGGGCGCAAACTGAACTGGGCTTTGGCCCAGGTCAGTTGCGGATTTCCAGCCTTTTGCCGCGATGCTGAGAAGCTGATGCAGCATGGCTGGACCGCCAGATTCCTACTGGGTGTTCACACTGATTGCAAGTCTGCAATTGGATGCCCAAAAGGTCCTCCACGCCGAAGGCTTCGTGCTTTTCCCCGGTTCGGACCGGTCACCGCTCCGTATGTGGGATGCCTCTTATGCTGACAGAATGGCAGAACGCATTTCCAAAGCCTGCAGGATCATCTTGAGACGTTCTGCGTCTTCGAAAGAACCTGAGCGAAGAGCGCCATCCAAGGCAACAGAGTTGGACAGGGACCTGTAAAGCCATGCGAAGCCACTTTAGCTTTGGAGCCCTTGAGACTCTGTGCTCTCTGTGCTTGCAGACGGAGTGGTGTTCGTTTGCTCTGGTCACAGCAGTTCCGCAGCAGAGGCCGGTCTCGTGTGCTTGCAGCGTCTTGCCTTGCATGAAAGGCCTGCTGCCAGTGTCCGGCTGAGTCCGCTGGCTCAAGGTTTGATTGCGGATTCTGAGACTGACACCTTCAAGCCTCCTCGTCATGATAGCACCACCACGGCTGAGAGATTCGAAGAGACCTGTGTCCTGGCCATGGCCTGGGAGGTGGTCGGCGGTGGGGACAAGGGTGGCATCCTGGTCCGAAGCGGCCAGGCCACCAGCAGCGACCAGCTTTCGGAGCGGCTCAGCACCGGGGCTCGGGTGGAGGACTGTTTTTTCCCAGCTTCCGCCACAGAAACCCTGCACTCTTCCCCGTTTACTGACTCAAGAACACACCGGTACCACGACGGGTATTGGGACATCTTGGAGGGGAGACCCTTCTCACGTTTTGTGCTCACGATGCAACGGCTCAGCGTCTTCAAAGCATTGGCAGCGACCACAGCTCTCGCTCTTCGGTAGATGTCGGTGTGTGGTCGAAATCCCGTCATTCCAAAAGTTTTGAACTTTTCAGCGATCGTTTCGTCCCCTTTCTTGTGGACGGCAGTTCGTAGCGGTTCGGTTCTTGCCTCTCTTATCGGTTCTAAAGGCTTCATGCAGCGCAACATCTTTGCATCGAAAGGAACGCCTGCACGGCTGCCAAGATCTTCACATGGACGAAACATGGACAGGTTCGGTCTGAGATGAGGCATTGAGGAGGTTTTGCGATGTTTCTGTTGAGGAGCTGGAGCTGGTGGGCGAAAGGCTGCACTACAAGCTCGTTTCGGGTGCCGGCCCAGCAGAGGGCTGGGTTAGCCTCTCCCTGAAGGACAAGCGGTTGCTTCAGCGCGTTGGTGAGAAGCCCAAGGCGGACGTCAGTGAGGGCGACCTCCGAGAGGGCGACTACTATGTGACCCTAGGAATCCTCTTCAAGAAGCTGGGGACGGATCCTGAGAAGGCCTCGATCACCAAGCTGAAGCGCAGCGTGGGATCCGTGGTGCACACCACCGGAAAGGTCTGGAGAGGATCTGGTGGTGGCTACTGGGTAGAGCTGGATATAAGCTCGGGCGACTCGGGCGCCGGCGAGAAGCCCGGCTATGTGATGATCGACGCCAGCGGCTTCGGAACACCCGGCCCGTGTCTGCAGAAGGCCTCGAAGGAAGATGGGCCGATTCTTCTTCTGAAGGCCAAGCCCAAGCCGGGATCGGAAGTGAAAGCCTGGGACGATGGGAGCCTGGACAAGGAGTTTCTCGTGCTGTCGAAGACTACCATCGCAGAGGTGAGGGTCATCCTGGGCATGCTGTTCAAGATTGCCAAGAGTGAGAGTATCACGGTGCTGTCAAAGGATGGCGGCCAACTTGCCCCGGAAACGAACGTCGGCGAGGCCGGCTTCCGAAGTGGCGACGATTGTGCCTTCGAGCACGCGGAAGGCAAATCGATGCGGCTCGTGGTCATGAGCCCCCTGGAGGAAGGTGTCAAGCTCACAGACCTCGACATCAAGAACGACTGGACTGTAGGCCGGATCAGGAAATTGGCTTGTCCTTGCTTTAGAGAAGAGTGAGTTTTTTTTGGGCGTGTGCAGGACAGGTCCGCAAGCTCCTGTGCAGCATCACCGGCTTGAAGGAGTCCAGCATGATTATGGCCCGGGGGAAGATGGGTGAGCGTGTCGGCGAGGACGCCCAGCTGAACTTGTCGCACCTGGTAGCGGACTGTGGCTACAAGGAGGGGGATGAGATCGGATTTATTTACATGGGTGATACGGAAGGTGACCTCAAGGCCTTTCTCGCAAAGCAGTAGATCTTTCGGTGTTTGACAAGTGCTTCCCCGGCAACACACGCCATTCTGGCTGCGCCACTGCATTGTGGCAGCGCCTCGTTGTTTGTCTCCGTCGCATGCTGAGCTGTGGAGTTGCATCTTGAAGGTCTTGGTGATGAGAAGTCAGAAGCCGCCTGTGTTTCCCCCCACTCTTCAACAACCGGCGGCTCAACCATGTGGAGACTTGTCATATACTTTTGGATACCATAGCGGTCGTGACAGGCCAATTGTGCCAGGCGCGAGCGCTTGCCAAGAGATTGCCGGAACCCTGCCCAACAAAAGTGAAAGTTCTGCACATGCTGCCGCGAAGCTGTTGACACTAACCAGGCCATCAAGGAATTTGATTCATGACATGTGGCAGACATTGAGCAAGAGGAGACGACGTTGGCACGGAGATGCATGATGCTGTTGTGTCATGACGGCTCGCGTGTAGCGTGCATTGCACGATGGAACAGGCTCAGATTCTAGTTGCTGCCAGGTGCGAGTTCCATGCGTCGCTGGGCAGTGAAGCACGATGCTTGAGATCTATCACGCGTGCGCTTGACTCCGAAACAAGCTGGTGCATCAGTTGCAGAGGCCCGCACTGCTAGAAGTATGTGTTTCTCGCCAGCCGTTCACTCTTCTGTGCGCCCTAGTGTTTTAGGCGAGTTTTCTCAACATAGTGGCTTCGATTCGCCTAGCAGCTAGTAGGTAGTACTAGCAGCCTAGTAGCTAGTAGCTGGTAGCAGTAGCAGTAGTAGGAGTAGTAGTAGTAGAAGTAGTAGTAGCAGTGCAGTAGTAGTAGTAGTAGTAGCAGTTGTAGCAGTAGCAGTAGCAGTAGTAGTCGTCGTCGTCGTCGTCGTCGTCGTTGTAGCAGCAGTAGTAGTAGTAGTCGTCGTCGTCGTCGTCGTAGTTGTAGTAGTAGCCGCAGCAGTAGAGTAGTAGTAGTAGTAGTAGTAGTAGTAGTAGTAGTATTAGTAGTAGCAGTAGTAG